ATATATATATATAAACTTAATATTAAAAATATTATCAATATAATTATATATAAATAATAAAAGAAATAATATATAAAACCAATTAATAAAAATACTAATTTAAATTTAATTCCAGATTTTGTTACAAACACAAATACACACACCATCAATACAAGTTGTGTGGGCTTAACGTTATAAAAAAATCTAAAAATTAATAAAGAATAAATATAATATTGATAAAACAATTTTACCATTTCTAATCGATAAAGTATCCATTTATCTTATTATCTATCTATGTAATTATCTAAACATCATAATTTTTATTTATAAGATTGGCTCACATGCAGTTTGACTGCTATTAATATCTCGTTTTGCTTTCATCAAGCGTACTATACTATAAACATATATATATACATATATATATGCGACCCATAACTACCTCTACGTAATTTCGAGCGGGAGACAAAATAACGAGACAGTAAGAACGTTTACAGAGATCGGCAACGAACGCAGTATCGAATTGGAAACTTTCGAGAGAACATCATATGCGTTTGCCATCGTAACACGTTACACCAATCACGAGTACTTGTAATACTAAGCAAGGTCTTTTCATACTATACTTTTTTTTTGTTTTGTTATTACATCTCATTCTAACCGATCTTTATATAAATACATATACTAATACACACGTTTTTCAATTGATATCTTTGATTCACACGTTATCAATTTTATAAAAATATTTTTTATATCATTTTGATCTCATTTCATTTCATTTTATTGTGATAATAATAAAAAGGAAAAGAGTATTGGAGTTTTTGGGATCATAATAAACGTGAGATTTTACGTTTGATTATAATCAAAAGTGACAACGAATATTGTTATAGTTATCATGCGATCAAAAATGATTGGAAGATTATTTATAATATTTCCATTATTGATATGGATAATTGCGGATCAAACCCTAGGACAACCAAACGAATCTGTGCCTTCGATTATTTTAGGTGGCATTGAAAATGTTGCTTCTAGTGCTACCAATTTTCGTAAGTTCTTATTTATCTTATTTTATTTCTAATTATTATCTATATATACATATATAATTTTATAATATTATTTTTAATAATATTATAATGTAATAATTTAATAATTTATAATATAATAATATTATAATTATGAATAATAAGTAATACAACACAACAATATACATTAATTCATCGCATTTCTCAACTTTTTGTTTTATGGAGTTAATTGATATGTGTGCACTAAACGGCTCATATATTGTATTATATTATTTTATTTTAATATATTTATATATTTTATATTTTTATTTATTATATATATAATAATATTATTATTTTATACATTATATATTATATATTTAATAATATTATATATAGTATATTATTTTATTTTATAATATATATATATATATATATATATATATATAATAATAATAATAATAATAATAATAATAATAATAATATTATCTTATAAATTATATATATATATATTTTTTTTTGTTATTTTTATAAATAAAATGTTCTTTGAACTATTTGGAATGCAGAAAATAGTAAATAATCTTATATATATATATATTTACTCTATATAAAAGTTACGTAGTCACATTTATCTGATAGTTCGATACCTACACATTTACTATTACTGTGTTGTACAGTAAAACTAGTTTTAACTACCGATAAGTAGATAAAATAATTTTCAATAGTATTTTGAGATATATAAATCATTGAAATAAGAAATTTCTAAAATTAATTTTTAATACGTATAAATTTCATTTAATTTTCTCTCTCTCTCTCTATATATATATTATAAATAGTAAAAAAAATTAATGGCAATTATTGTTATTGATCTTAAAATTATACTATTCTTTCATATAATATAATTATAAGTAATAAATGCGTATAAAAGTTGGAATGTCAAGCATGTATTTAATTTTTTTTTTAAATTTTTCTTTGTTTTTTAAGTTGACAGTTATATTATAATAGTAAAAAAAGTCATTCGATAACAATGATTTATTATTCATAAAAATATTGAACTTTTATCCCTTTATATCTATCTTGACTTCTTTAATGATAAAAAATAATTACGTGTGTAGAATAAAAAAAGAAATGGAAGATTCTTATTAACACACGTACATATCTATCGATTACTCATACCATTTTCTTTTCTTTTTCTTTTTTTTTTTTTTTTTTTGTGAATTATCATCAATTATACTTCCTACAAACGTTAATAGTTTTTTTTATTTGTTTGTTAATACGTACATGTGATTGGTCAGTTTTTTCATATCACGTTTGTGTTAGAGATAAATTAGTCATTCATAAACGATTAGAAAATTATTCATCTGTAATTCTCAGAATGGTTTTTAATGAAGTTGAAAATGATAAAGAAAAAATGTTTTAATCAATTTAAAAAGGAATCCAGGATCAAAAGTGGTTTGATTTGACCACGTGGAAACACCCCATGCATATATATATAAATATATGTATATATAATATATATTATATATTATACATATAGATTTTGATTTATTATTTTTAGTCAAAGATAACGACCCAAATAGTCGAGTCAAAGGTGCAACTATCTGTTGCAGTAACCAGAGTCGTGAAACGACAGAAAGACCTGTTGCATCGCGTGACTGATACCGCTACGGATTACAGTATGTTACGTGTATTATGATTGAAAAAAAAAAAAAAAAGGACGGCTTATAAAATAATCCCAACCCACCCCTACCCACCAACTTTACACTTTTATACAAACAGAAATACGTGCTGAATAAAACGATCAGCTTTGTGTGTGAGTGGGTGTTTGCGCATGTAATTTGCGTAATTTTTTTTTTTTTTTTTTTTTTTTTATTTAAATTGAATGAAAATAACAAATCAAAAAAGAAAAAAAAAATTCAAAGTTTTTGGGTTAAAAAGAATCATTGATAATTATTGCAAAATAATTCAAATAAAAATAAAAATATCACGTGTGCAGATCACACGTGTTAGAAGTAAAATGGCATGGGTTATTATTTAAAATTTGATCTTTACAAAAGTTCAATGAGTCTACGAAGAAATTAGTCAATGATCCAAGGACTTGCATTTTGAAAAAAAAATTCAATGAATCTACAAAGAAATTAGTCAATGATCGAAGAACTTGCGTTTTTCAAAAAAATTTCAATGAGTCTACGAAGAAATTCGTCAATGATCGAGGACTTGTGCATTTTGAACAAAATTTCAATGAGTCTACGAAGAAATTCGTCAATGATCAATAAACATTGACTGAACTTTTCGTAGACTCGTGCATTGACGAATTTCTTCGTAGTTCATTGATTCTCTTAAATTGAACAAATTTTTTTTCGTACATTTGTGCATTGACTGAACTTTTAGTAGATTCATGTGCATTGATTAAATTTTTCGTAGACTCGTAAATTGAAATAAGAAACAAATTGCATACTGTCTTCTATCTCATTCTCTCTTAGGCTGAATCCATGGAATTTTGTTCACTTTTTTACAAATCACCACCCCCCCCCCATTCTAAAGAATTTTACTTCAAACTTCAACTTGAAGAGTACACTTCAAAAACACCTGGAAACAAAATGATACCATCACAATTGTTAGAAATTATTTTCTCTATTATATACATTAAACAATTTAACTTGCAATTGAATTGTTTGTTAATAATTTGAAAAGTTAAATCATTCAATTATTATATCCATGTTAGATAATTATTTTGCAATAAGTCAATGCAATTGATCACGCAAAATTGCATGTTGGTAAGTGGCATTTTTCGCAGCAGTAGCCTCTTTTTTTTTATTGTAACCGTTCAAGTAGATAATTTTTGTAGATTTCGTAAGGGAATAAAAAATAAACGATTAAACAAAATAATAAGTAACAACAAAGGTATAATTTACAAATATCGATCTATCGAACATATCAATCAAGATATGTTACAAACTAATTAAGTAAACAAATCACGTGACATTTGGTTGTATATTTTGTACATACAAAATCACATAATTCATTTTCACATTCATATTTATTAAAATAAATTAATAAAAATCAATATGTAACAATTGATTTTTATTTATATTTTTTATTAACATAATAATTAATATTACATTTATTATTACATTTATATTATTTATACACATAATATTTATATATATATATATATTAATAATATTGTATTACAATATTGCAATATATATAATAATATAATAATATATATATTTTAATAATATATATTACAATATTATAATTATATTACAATATTTTATAATATTATAATATTGTAATATAATAATATTATAATATTAAAATAATAATTACAATAATTATTACAATATTAATATTACAATATTAATTATGTTATAGGGTTGACATTATATTATCATAACTCGCTTATTAACAACGCTTAATATAGCAGCCATTTTATTTGCTTTCAAATACAATCAAATTATAATTGTATAATTTAAACAATTTTGCGGGTTTTTATGCAATAATATAATTATTTAACATTTATTATTTATTATTCATAATTTTTTTTTTTATTATTAATTTTTGTTTTTATTTTAGTCGTCAGTGCAGTTGAAAGTCCAAGAAATTTATTGATCAATGCAACCAGAGCAACAACAGGAATTAGTGAGCAATATAATAATAATAATAATAATAATAATAATAATATTAATAATAATAATATTACAAATTCGAACTTAAATTGAGTAATACGCATTAATATTTCGAAGGACAGTCGACAGTGCAGCATCCAAAGGATTAGAATTTAAACTTCGAAGATTTATTGAGAAGTTTCGTTCACGAATGCGTTATGGTATACCGGAATTGGATATACCACCGCTAGAACCATTTCATCTCGATGAAGTTCGCTTCGACACTGATAATCCGCAAATTGGAAAGTAAGCAAAACATTTTTTTTTTTTATCTTAAAATGAATTTCAGAGTCATATTATATCTATGTGTATAATTACGAGTTGTTACTTTCTAAAATATCTTTGCAACTAAACTCAAACATTCATATTATGCAACGTAAAATATGGGTACATATATTATACTTTTATTTTTTTTTAGTAATAAATTAAAGTTCGTAGTAATAAAAAAAAAAAGATCAATCGATATTATCTAACTAAAAGAAAAGAAGAAAAAAAATAGAAATAAAAAGAAAATCACATTAGCATAATTATTCATTTAGTTGATGATTTAATGGAAGATGCACATATTGTGTGTGTGTGTGTGTGTGTTTTTTTTTTTTACTAGTAATTCAAAGTATAATTAAAGTTTTAATTTGTAATAAAAGATTTTTAATTTTATATTATATATTTATTTTTTGATAATATTAATAATAAAATATATAATATAAAAATAATATAATAAATATATAATTGAAAATATAATAATAATAAAAAATACTAAAAATAGTAATTATATAATTTACATTATATTAATATAATATACTGTAAAAAATTTAATAATATTTAATAATAATAAATAATAATATATGTATATAAAGTAATAGTAATAAATAATTATTATAATATATTATAATTTAATTATTAAAATAATTATAATATAATAGTAATTAAAATAATTATATAAATTAATAATTTAAAAATGTATATATATATATATATATATATATATATATATAGTTATAAATTAATGTAAGTTAATAATATTAAGTTAATTTTTCAAAATAAAATACATTAACATTTATTATAATAATTTTACAACTACTACTATCACAAATTAAAGAATTTTGTTTTCCCTCTTAAATTAATTGAACTAAAATATTATTGTAACGATTATAAACAAAAATGAAATTCTATTACGTTAATGTTTTTTAGTATTTTAAATAATGTATTTTTATTTTGCAGTGTTAGTGCAGTTGTCAACGATTTAACCATTTATGGATTATCATCATTTTTGATTGAAAGTGCAAAACTATCACTGATTGGTCCAACAATTTCAGTAAATCTTCTATTTCCGGAACTTTATGCAACCGGTAATTACAACGTATCCGGTATACTCGGTAACATGTTTACGCTGTTTGGTTCTGGTCCATTCAATGCAACGATTTATGAGTTTCGTCTTAAAGTGACAGTAGTTGTTGGATTTTCAAGGGGTTTGTATATCAAGGATCTCGATCTTGATTTTACTCTGTCATCGGTTTTGTTCAACATAGAAAATTTTATGGGTGGCGATGAAATTGGCAAACTTATGAACCAGGTAAGATTTGGTTTTTTTGTTTTTTTTAATTTTCACTTACATTAGACCACTTTTATAATTATGGACACACACACGCACACACGCACACACACTGTATATTAGGTCTATCGGAAAATTCTGTCTGTTCAGACAAACATTAGTTCAATTTTTCGTCACTAGGGGTTAAGGCCCCGTTTCCTAAAATGGAATATACAAATTGCCAACATGTTGCAATGCAAGAATTTAAAAGTAATTCAATTAATAAATTGTTCAAATTATGAATAATTTATTATTTTATTTTTATTTTAAAAAAATTTCCTAGTAGACCTAATATATTAAGGGGATCGAAAAGTAATGGTCGTTACTACGCATGTCAAATTATTTCTAATATTTTAAATAAAAATAACCGATTTTTATCGTTACGATATTAAAAATTTTGCTTACCAAATAGAAAAAGGTTGTTGATAACGTTAATTAATTAATTTAATTATTGATTAATAATAAAAACTTATTTGAACAATTATATTCGTTTGTATTTTGAGGTTAAAAAGCGACATTACTTTATGGTCTAGATAATTTATATACTTGTGTATGCTGGAATCATTTTTATGGCTTTTTTTTCTTGATATTTTGTTATTTTGATTGTTTTGGTTTGATTTTTAGGTCTTTCAAGAACTGACTCCGCAAATAGTAGAAATCATTAAGCCAGACATACTACCAGGAATCAAAAGTTACGTTATTAACAGAGTCAACGAAACGATTCGACATTTGACCATGAGAGACTTGATTCATATTCTCTTAGGAGAAAACGAAATTCGTGATATTGCTGATCTAATCATACCATGATATTAAATTAAATATGTCACACGTTTTTTTCCCCACTTCCTTTTTCCCCTAGTTTCCCTTAATTTCTTTTTCTGAAAGAACTTTTATATCTTCTCTCTCCTTTTTTTGTTCTTTTCTTGTTCTTTTCATTACTTCATCCTACTGTTTTTGTTTAATTATCTTATATATATTTTTTATTTTGTTAACTATCAAGATTTTTATTCTCAATTTTTGTGAAAATTCGATTGTCACACTTTCGAATAGGAAAAAGAAGAAAAAATACAAATAAATGTAGATAAATTTGCATAAATAATAATAAATAGATTGTTTTTAAATGCGTCATCTAACAATAATTGATACTTATCGATTATTATTAGCATAATAATTTTTATTTTTTTAGAATCTCAGGAAATGATCGACTAGTTTTATGTCGACATAAAAGGTGTGGTTTTATTATTTTTGGTTTTTTTTTTTTGGTTTGGCTTTTGTATTTTATATTCTTTTTTTCTTATTCGTTGTGAGTCAAGAAAAACAAGTATTAATTACAAAAAAATATGTCAAAAAATGATATAATTATAATTTTTATACTGAAAGATCTATAAATTGTGTTTAAAAAAAAAAAACAAAAAGTTTTATTATTTTTGTTTAGTTTTGTAATTGTTCAAGTGAAACATCTACAAATTGTATTTAACCAGTATTAAGTGTGGCGATCTCTGCGCAGAGCGCGCTCTGGTGTGTGTCGCGATAATCAAGCGATGACGGATATAGTCGTCAAACACAGAATAAGTGGCGCTATTGAAATATTGGATATAGGGACCCTATAGGAGGGACACGCCATACACATTGCTAGGCTGAAAATTTGGGGGGACAGCTTCCGTTGCATCAAAGCTGTTGCGTTGAATCATTCGCGCGCAATCACGTGACTACACGAGTTCCTGTCCCCCAGCAATGCGTATGGCGCGTCCCTCCTAAAGGGTCCCTAATTGGATCAAAATTACGACTTTATTTTAGACAAAGAACAATTTTGTTAGTAATGTACACACAGTCTCTTAATATGAACATATAAAAAACGGAAAACTTAGAGAAAAAATCCGAATATTTATAAAAGTTAAAAATTTAAACTGTTGCTGTCGTGTGATATATTTACGAAAACGAGGAACAACACGTAGTTGCACTTTGCATGTCGGAAACCAATACCGCGATTCTTTTCTAATCTTTTTGAAGTGAAAACTTCTGTAGAATAGGGAGTGATTTGAAAAGAAATGGGTGGTTCAGACAACGAACCGGTAGATGGCGAGGCAACGGAGCCTGTATACGGATAGGCAACGGAGCGACGGGCCGCTATGCAAGGGCCACGATTTTTATTGCTTG